TTATTATGTGTGCAAGAGTGCGATTGAAAGAAACGAGACGGAATGCTGTCGATTGAATGCTGACAGAGTAACGTGATTCAGTTAGAGCCAGAGTGAGTGAGTGCACATGTGCGCACACACACACAATATTTCAGAAAAGGACTTATTAAATGCGTGAAGCGTTGATGGCAAGTTTCTTCTTCTTCTTCGTTTCCATTTTCAAACGGTCTATTACTAATGATTGTATCGGATTTTCAATGCACGAACCGAATTAGAAAAGAAAGAAGATGAAAAAACCTTTTTTTTTTTTTGTAATGTTTGTTGTATAAAAATAGAAACGAAAAAATATTTTCCCATGATTTGAAAATAACTGAACAGATTGTGCACATTGCACGATCGATTCCTTTTTGCTCTCTCTCCTCCATATCTTTTGTATTGAAATGCTTTACATTTATCTGGGAACATTGAGAGGTTGTAATAGTAAAACAAATAATGTGTGCGATTTGAAAAGAAGAGAGAGAGAGAGAGAAAAACCGATAAAAACTGTGAAAGACAGAAAAGACGAGGGTGCAACGGTTTTTGTTGATCGTTGCATTTGGTTGACCTAAATGTATACGGTTAACCTAACTGAAATCTCTACTCAGTGATTTCATATATGTGATATGGGAGAGAGAAAATTTTCTCACCCTCCGCATCAATAGAGGTGATTAATTGAAAGGCCAACGCGTTTCTCGTTCGTTCCCATGCATCTCTTCAATACATACACCATACATGATCGACCCTCGCACAATTCATCTGTTTTGTTTATTTGTTGTTGTTTTTTTTCACTTCAAATATCATCCACTTTCTGTTCGACAGAGATCATGTGCAGTGCATATCCTATGGCACAAATGTGTAAATTTGTATTTGTATATAGACAGTGGTTTCTGCAGTTTGAGAGCAGTGCAATTCAATAAAGACGGTCCCCATTTTTTTTATTCATACGTCAATTGATTTCAATGACTTTTTCACAACGCATTGTGAATCACAAACGATGAATTGTTCCCTTCATCAATAAAAATAGATAGTGTACCTGTTTCTCCATCGCATTTGAGGATCATGAAAACATCATTCGATGCACCACAGGCTTATATACTCTTATTGAACTATTGCTGAAAACCGATTTGCACGCAATTTAATCCTTTTTTCACTTGATTGCCGTTTTTTTTTTAAGTCGAAACAGATTTTACAAATATGAACAACGAAATACATTGTAAAACGGGACACTTTTTTTTTGGGAAACCGTTTTTTTTCTAATAGCTCTATTTTACCTTCTTTTTTTTTCATTTAATAATCTGTTGTCGATTAACCCTTGTATTTTCGCCACTTTATTCACTTAACCTCTGCACTGTGTTTTATGACGATAAATAAAGAGAGGGAGAGCGAAAGTTATTTATTAACTCACCGACTGAGTTTGAACAGTATTTTACGTTTGTCAGATTTTGATTCATTTGACAAGGATGAGAGACATTTGCTTCGCTTGAATATTTCAAAAAAGATTGTTATTATTTTTTTTGAATATCACGAATTATAATCCTTTCTTCAATTATGCAGCATCAGAAAGCCATTATTTGCATTATAAAGCATCAAGCAACCACTATATGGCGTCAAATCACACATGGGCACCATTCTTTTGCATATGGCAAATGTGTATTTTCCAATTTCAAAAATGAAGACAAATCAGAATCTCTTCACTCATGTCTATTTTGAAGTAACCACCAAAAGAAGAAGAAGAGACGAAAAAATTGTGTGGTGTTATGCAAATCACAAACGTTTAATCGTCGCATGAAAACGTATGCTTTTCGTCAATGAATTCTCTTTTATTGCATCTTCTTGATCTAAAAACCAATTATCGAACGACCAAAAAAAGTCATGTGTGTTTGATAAGGCCATTCATTAAATAATTTACGAAAAATAAAAAAACAAAAAATAACCGGCAACAAGTCAACTCAACGGGACAAAAAAGCCGAAAACAAAATTAACAACAATGAAAGGATTGTCTTTGCAATGGAAACCAACTACCGATATGGTTTTCACATCAGCATCCCAGAAGAGACAATCAATTGGCATTGTTTATGTATATATACACCATATATTGAACGCACAAAGTCATTCTCTAGTACGGCAAAATTCAAAAAATTCCTTGTAAATAATTATAGTCATTTGATGTGTGGTTTGTGTGGAAATTAGTGAACGGCTCAAAAACTATATACATATTCCAGTGTGTCCATATGCCAGCTATTTTCTCTGCTTCTCCTTTTTCGGTTGGAAATACTTTTGGCTTCGAGATTTAGAATGACATACACACATCGTGTGTGTCTGTGTGTTCTACCGCACAAATTATAATCACAAAATTTGTTTTTGCGATACATTTTTCGTGCGTTTGATGATCGTTTCTTGGTTTTTGCCGAAAAGAGAGAAGAAATGAAATTTCCGCAAAAGTCATATGGCATCGATTGTGTGACTAATAATGTGCATAGAGACTTGCTCCGCGCTGACACATGTAAATCAATCGAAAACAATAATGCCCTTTATTGTTTGGCAATAAATTCGGTCGGTGTTGATGGCTTTCGTTGATCAATTTGAAGGGGGAAAAAGAAAAGGTCGGAACAAGAGTGTAGTCGATTTATAAAGTGCATGTGAATAGTAGTACCCTGTTGTGAGCTAAACTGATTTGTGGTTAAATAATACACACACAGCCGGTCAATAGGATCACACCAATTCACCTGTGTGTATTTTAGTCAATGTCAACCGTTTTATTTGTGGGTTTTTAAATATATTTTTGCACAATTGACCCAATTAAATATTTGACGGAAATAAATTGTGATTTTCATATAAATTCTATGCTCAATTATGAATGAAACGATGAAACGACTGTATGTACCACATGCTAAAATAGTTAATACAAGAAATTTTATACCCGAAATCAGTGTACAATCAGTGGATTCAGATATATGATTCGAAAAAACATGAACAAGACAGAACAAAATCGATGTATTTCGCGAGAAAAAGAAAATAAGTGGCCAAAATAATAAATAAAGCAATGTAAGGATGTACCGTTAAGAGTTGACGATATCCATCGAAGTAATTAAGTATATTCAAAGGCTTCGTAAACATGTTATCAAAGTGTAATCGATTCAAAATAAAGGTATTCCCATATCACGGTTATAATTCATTACCATCGAATTCAATTGGCCCGCATCATATCGAAAGCGCCGCTGTTTTAGAAGTCAACAGTGTCCGCTTAAATGTCTCTGTATATAAATAATGAGAAAAGTGTAAACATCCGAAAAATGATTGGACATACAGCGCTATTATTGCTTATCACACTATATAAGCAGAACGGCGGCAGCATTACAAATTCTCATGCAACAAACAAGATCGTACACGTCATATCACACGTGCACTGTGGATGTGTCGAGATCGACTGAATAATTCACATAAATAAGAGCAAAGGCAGATTTAAAAAAGAAACGCACCAACAACAACATTCAGATGGTACATTAATAATTGATTGCATGCAACCACGTGTGCCGAGTGCGACTAGAATGATCTGGATGCAACTTGAACGACAATACAGCCAAAAAAAAAACGAAGAAATAATAAAAGACACCCAAAATAAATACCGATAATAAGTGCTGCGACTTGTGAAAAAATTTTCCCATGGTTTTTCGATCGCAAATGTGCAGGAGCTGCTGTTGCTGATGATGGTGCTGTTGCTGCTGTTGTTGATGTTATTCCTTGCAGCACATACAACCATTGGCAAACAAGCGAAATCATGTCTCAACCAAATCAAATACCAACAACGCGCAGGAGAATTCATGTTCATCATCGCTTCTTGCTCCGGTCACTGCATCGCAATTCGGCAACAAGCGCACGAATTACGCATAAGCATAAAAAAACAACAACAACGACAAAAAAACAAAAACAACAAGCAACAAAAATAAGCAGAAAGTAACCACTGTATCACTACATATACATTAATGCATAGTCAGTTCATGCGAGTCTGAATTGTTATTACTATTATTCTTATACACATCGATGAAAATCACCCTCGCTTACCATCTGCCCCATTTATTTTTCGAATTTTGTGTGACTCGGTAGAGATTCACGTTCCCACGATCTTTAATAACAGCTTACCGGTATGCACACACATATATGGTTCAATGTGTGTTGTGTGTGCGTTTTTTTTTGCTTTTCATTTTATCATCATGTCTCTTTATTATCGCATTCATGTGTTGAACACTTACACATGCATTTATCGAAACCCGAATAATATGTTCCACATATGTGAGCACACACAAATACCTTGCTACCTACTCGTTGCTGTACAGTGCAAATTAAATCGGGTGAAATGCGTGCATCTCACTTGCTCTTATGTGGGATCAGTTTGAAAAGTGCAAACAATAAATAACATATTCGAACAAATTGCGAGAGCGCGAAAGAGAGAGAGAAAAACTATAACACATCTATAATGTACTGAAAATGTTCATGCTTTCATGTATTCCCGTTACGGACATGTCTGTGCCTGTCGCTCTTCATGCCTTTTTATTCACATGAAATTGTCTGTTTCTGTATTCCCTTTTTATTGTACAAACTGAACGAACACCTGCCCCTATTCTCGACGCTGATAGGGCGAACGCATTTTCTCTTCGCTACGTTTGTGCAGCACAGTGAGTGTGTGTGTGTTTGTATGTGGCAAAGAGATCGGTGCGCGTATGCGTGTATGCGTGTATGTTTTTATTGTTTGGTGTCTCGGTGCCCGTTGATGCCTGTGCATAGTCGTGTCTCGCATGTGTGTTTCGATGCGTGTGCGTATACACAGACTATAGAGAAAACAGGCTATTGTGAATGCATTTCTTTAGAATTTGATTTTCGTTGTGTGCACATGTGTGTGCGTGTCGAAAACGCATGAAATTCACCCTCGGACGAGTATAAAAGGAGGTGCAAGTGCGTTGTAGGAGTCATATTCGATTCAACAGTCGACAAGCAAACAGCTCTCTTAGCTACAACGAAAATAAAAACTTGTTCAGTTGAAAAGTTGAAAGTTAAAACAGTGATTTTACACAAGTTCAACAGTTTTTTTTAAAACGAAATAAATTTTCAAGTTTTTTTTTTAAATCTCAACGCGAGTAAACACAAAATATTAACCAAGATGTCGATGTGCTACAACGATTACATTATTGCTAGCAACAATAGCATTAACGAAAATAAATACAACGCTGAGAAATTGGCCAAATCACCATCATACCGAATCAAGAAGATTTTGAAGCCAATTTTACGTATTTTGCGCCAGAAAACATCATCATCGGCCGCAAAAAAATCACAAAAATCATCCAACAACAAATTGACGGTTGACTACTCCATGGACAGCAATGAGTGCTACTATCACGATGACTGCCAATATCAAAACGATTTCTGGTCATCAGAGATGGAAGAAAATTTGAAAAACGAAGAATTGGAATCACGCATCCTTAACGAAATCGCTGAATGTGATGATGATGCAGCCATCTATGTGTACAACGATGATGAATGCGAATTGCAATCCGTTCACCGTGAAACCACATTCATTCCAGTACATTTTGCACGCACCGAAGCCGGTACATTCTTCTGGACGACCATGCAAAAACCAATTGATGACAATGAAACAACACACTGCTGGTCACACTGTGGCGATCGATGGGTCCAAGCCTAAATCACAACTTGCTCCAACAACATTATTTGTTCAATCAAGTGCCAACATCAATATTGATCTCCTTTATATTAGTTTAAATGCATATCAATTCAGGAATAGTTATTTCTATTGCATTTATGTTTTTTAACAACAATTTTTTTTAAACTGTGGCATTTTTGTGATATTAGGCTGTTAGGGAACTACATTTTTTGTAAAACTTTGTGATCGAAATGAGAATCTTTCAATTGTACGAGATATAATTCACTTTTTTTTAAACATCAAATTTATCGAACATTGTAAGGACTTCCAATGTCTTCCATATAATTTAGGGAATTTTTTTATAAATGTTTAATCAATATTTTTTATGTTTAACTAAAAACAACATTTTTTTATAGAAATTATACAATCATTGAAAAGCATTTCAAAATAAAACAAAACTCTACGGAGAAAAAGAAATCTTAAAATCTTTCAATTCAAAAACACTTCTCTTTCAGCAATCTTGAATTTTCAGCTTTGATTTCTTGGGCATCCAACAGCATCTCTTTGACTTTCAATAATCTTTTTGTAGCTCTTTACTTGCATAAAAACTCTTTGGTATTGTAAAACAAAAAAAGAATATCTTTTCCGATGAACCAAAATCAGCTCTTCTGAACAACAACAACAAAAAACTCTTCTTTTTCGGTGATGACTGTGCAGTAAAAATCTCAGCGATGAAAATCGAAAAAGGAGAAAGACGAAGCAGAAAAAGAGAAAAATTCGCCCGAAAGTAACAAAAAAAAACGTTCGATCAAGAAATACAGATCGTGCACGTGCAGCCGAATATAAGCTCAAAGAATAATGACCAACATTTCATCTCTTTTTTCCTCTCCGTCTCTCACTCCGCGTTCGGCTCCTAAGTATAGGTTTTTATTATTGCATCAAAAAAGGCAGGCAAGTAAAAATGAGCCGAAAGAATGCGAATCAGAGAGAATAAAAATGCATTCGTTTTGAACGAGAACCGATAGAATGAATCGAATCGATCGGTATTTCAATGGGTTTCTTCTCTTTTTTTCCATAATTTTCGGTTTGAATCTTTATGAAAATAGATAAATATCTAAAAAAAACCTAATTCCTTTTGTCGAATTAGAACCTCATTTCTGAAAAGAAAGTAATGCCACTACGGGAAAATTAAGGATGAATGCACAAAAAATATAATAGTTTTGAATTTCTAACGATATACATTTTTTCGTTCGTTCCTTTTCATCCTTCATTCGATGATTGACAAAAGATTCTCTTTTTTTCATTTTTTTTTTTTTCATCTTTTTTTTATTCTTTTCTGATTACTACTTTACCGAAAAACTGTCCCTTCTCTGACCTAACTCTATTGCTATTGTGTTAATCGTCAATTCTGTTTTCGTATTACGTCCTATCCCAAGAATAATGTTTGATTTTCTCTATCTCTTTGCCTCTTTTCTTTTGTTTGATTTCGGCTATTCGAATTAATAACAGGAAAATAAAAATGCGCAAACAACACGTCACCGTTGGATTTCTGTTATTACTATTGAAGAGACGATTTTAAATGAAACTTGCTTTCAAATCGACACACGAAGATAAGATAGAAAAACAGAAAGAGAAAATCATACAGACGAAATGAGAGGGAACGAAGTGTTTACAGAGCATTTATTTAATTTAGATTTCAATTCCAGGTAGATTTTTCCACTTTTCTTTAAAATTATAGATTTTATATTGAAACAACCTATTCACGCATAAAAAAAAATATCCAACCCAGAATTTGTTCATTGTCTATTTGGATTTTTCATTCTGTCTCCGGTCCAATTCTATTTTGCTAGTTTCTATTATTCAGGTGGATGAAAGTACAAAATTTAAGTTAAACAAAAAGTATATTTTTTTTTCTAGTGAAAGAATTGGATGTAGGTAGAAAAATGGAAAAAAATGATATAAGACTTGGATTTAAATTATGTTGCATAAGATATTCTTAGGTGATCATTCAAAAAGGCATAAAAAATAGAGAAAGTTTTTTTTCCCAGCAGAAAAAAGAGATGCTTTTCATCAAAACAATTCAAAAATGGTTTCAGCTTAAGAAATTGCTAAAATAGCTTCAAATTCTTTAGTGATTCTTCTTTGATTTATCCAATAAAATGTCTTTCAATTGTGTAAGAATCGAACATTTCCTTTGTAAGTAAGTTATTCTCCTTCGAGCCAAAGCAGCATCTTATGAGAATCAATCGTTTTGCAAAAATCGTTCAATGCTTGGCCATTTCAAACAGTAGATCGTTTGTATGACAGGAATCAAAGCAATTTTTCGATCTATAAAAATATTGTCACACTGAATTGTACAATAGAATGCAACATTGTACAAGACCATAGCGGATGACCATTTCCGCTCCGTTTTCATTTCATACGAGCACAAAAATAATAAATCTTTAAATTGAAATGCTTTGATTTGTTCGAGTTTCTTTTTTTGATTATTTAACATTGGCTCAAAGAGTCAAGTCATTTCATTCGAAAAGTCAACTCATTCTCTTCTTATTTTTGTTTATTGTGCGACGAGATACTTTTTTTTCTTTTTGTAAAATTAAAACTTGTTACAATGTCCTTTTTGCATTGAAATAAAAAGTGGCCAGTTTGTTGATCGTGACTTGTACAATGTTCGATTGAGAGCGACAATTTTCATGAGACAAAAATGTAATTGTTTGTCATAAAACGATGTATCCAAATGTATCTTTTTCTTTTTTTGAACCAGAAAAAAGTCACATACATGATCTGATAAATGGCAAGAAAATTCATGTGTAGACACGTTCAACGAGTGCGGCTCGTGTCGTGTACGCTGACCAATGCAATATATTGAGCACATGACTGTTGCAGAAAAAACTCTCGTTTTTCTTATTCTGGCAGAAACAAAAAAAACATTGCAATCTATTGTGTCAATGGCATTTTGCAACTTGCATCTTTTTTAAACCATTAAAACAACTTTTTTCTTGCAATATCATGTCCTTTTCATGCAATTTCCTGACGCGATATGCATTACTAATGCTGTGTTTTTTTTCAATTGAAAGAGCCAAAGTTATTGTTGAGAGACACGTTTGCGTTGAGAACAACAAAAATTGACGGTTTGGAAAAGTCTTTAAAAGGTTAAGCCAAGACGAAAAAGAATGAGTGACGAACAAAGTGAATTTCCGTCGCACCAGTCTATTGATAAAATGATTGGTCTTGTGTTATCAGTGAACATGTCAAGTTGTATTAAATCGCGTGAGCCTCCGGCACAAATTCAAAATGCCGAACATCAATCAATCGCACCTCCTTTCATTTATCGAATAGTCCTTGTTATTAAATAACAAGACTGAACGGAAAAAGGGCTCAACCATGCCAATGAGCATGAGTGCGCACGTACATCGCGCACACATTCAAATATTTTTCTTTTTAGATTAGTTTAGCGCTGCCCACGGAAACCGTCATTCAATGTCTATCAGAAAGAAAAATCTTATTATTTATTGTATTATCTAAATTCACTTAATAAATGTATTCGATTTAGTTGTTTTTTTTTCGTCTTTCATTCGCGGTGGAGATTCAAAGGCGATTTGTCCGTTGTTCCTTTTTGGTGCCATTCGAAACTTTTGTCGCAGTCAATATATATCCACACATACACACAGTTAACGTTTGTTTCATGTTCTGTGCGTGCATTTTATCATTCCTTCTCATTGCTTAGCGATGCAATCGCTTTTCGGGTCCAAAGAGAAGAGAGAAAAAAAAAGTAATTTGAACACGTGTGCATCAAGAAACTGGAATCCTCAAAGGGTATAGCTATTAAAAATTCGACCAAAAACGGCATGAAAGTACCAAAAAATAAGAAGAAAAGAGAAGACGAAAAAAATGTATACACTTAAAGAAGAACACAAAGCAAAGATAACGAACATTTTCAAGGCAAAAACTTCGACTTGTCGATGGGGAAAAAACTGATTACAGCATCAAAAGACGAGAAAAGAAGGACGCAGATAGAGAGAAAACAAGTGAAACGAAATTTCATCCGAGACTTTAATTTTAAACACCATATACGATGCTGGTAAAAACGGATGAAAAAAGGGACTAACATTCCATTCGAACAATAAAATGGAGTTTTTTTTTTCGTTCGTTCGTTTCTTTCATCAATTTTTTTTAATACATACTATCGTATGAATAATTTGAAAAATCGAAGCTATAGTGGTTCTTTGTGTAAGTTATACGAATCGATGCAAGTCAAATCGTCAAATCAAATTCGATTCTTATAATGCCCGGCTTTGATACGCTCGATTTTTTCTTTCTTTCATTCTTCAATATGATTACCACTTGTTGTGGTGGCATCGTTGATGGGTTAGACAAGAGAAACATGAGAGTAGAGAGTGAAAAAAACACTGTCTAGTTCGATTAGAATCGTCAATAATTACACTGTGCACGTCGCGCCTAAACAAGGGGGAGAGAATTATGTATTCTATATAATGTATATTCATTGGACAAGTAACGTGCTTACGGAGATAATGATGAATCCTTTTCTTTTCTTGTTTCACCCGCTAATCGAACTAATAAGAAGATAGTGGCGAACAAAAACCCGAGAAAACTCATCAATAATGCGAAGATGTAATCAACCAATAAACTTGATTCAATGCATTTGGTGTTGTTGTTTTTTTATAAATAGAAAATGCATCACATTTTATCGCCGGGACTACGATTTTTATACCTTCAACTCTCTAATTAGAATGCAGCGGCAAATAATGATAATCAATAGAACAAGAATTTTTTTTTAGAAACCATTAGAACCGTCACCGGCCGGTTTTCTAGTGGTTGTTTTTGGTAAGCGGTATAATATTTAAATCACCACAGCTGCCTCTCATTATAAATGTCCAGGAATCAAATTTGATTTCCGACTGTTTCTGTCTGCAGCAAATGTTATTTTCTCGGTGGGTTTTAAACTCTTTTTTTTTGTACCCTGGACGCTTTTTAAATTTTTAATTTCTTTTCAAAAAGGAATAATGTCATTCTTCTTCTTTGAATCAGCCCAAATGACTCGGAGTTTCTCTTCAAATCACCTTTCAAATGAAATAAAAAAAATAACGCATAAAATTTTCAAATGAACCATAGATTCGAATCCTGAGCCAGCCGAATAAAAAATGTGTCTGAAAATGGATTCCTAAATGAAGTAAAGACCATTTTTACAACTCGATTCATCAGCAATGAAAATATAGCTGCAAGCAATTGATTGCATAAAATTTGAGTCACATAATTTTGGTCATAAATTATCGGTTAATTGGGATTGGCGAGGCAATTGAGAAATCGGCATGAATTTGATAAACCATATTATT